CCTCCGGGAAAACGCTGCCAAGGCGGTTGTTACACTGCATGCTTCTACGCTTCCTTGATCAAGGCAACTCGCCTGGCGAGATGTTTCTGGATGGGCTTGTGGGGACACGCGAAGCGTGAATGATTAAGGCAAGCACCCGCACCCACCATTGCGAATGGAAGCAAATTGACATACGTAGGCTTTCATGGGCGTATCTGCATATTACAAGAGACACAATGGTGCAATTGCGCACTGGTATGGGAGGTTCGCAAGCACACCGGGGAGGAGCGCGGGTCTGAAACATCTGGAACAATCGCAAGACCGCGTGCTCCACACTTCCAGCGTTCACATGTGGAGAAAGGCTGCGACGACGGTTTTCCCCCCAGGAGACGCGACCAAGAAGAGACGCGGCACGAAGGCGCCAGGCGTGCAGGAGAAACCTGCGAGGCCCGCGAGATCACAGAGGTGTGCCGAACGAATGCAAAGTGTAGCGCTAAGCAATCGAAAGGGCGCCGCTGAGACAGCTCGGCGCGATATCCCCCCCAATGCCGAAAGCATCCGGAGTCGCGTTGTTGCATGTTCTTTCGCCCCCCGCCCCGGGCTGTCAATAATACCCTCTGGGGAAACAGTAAGGAAACACTGGGACTCTCTTAAGAGGGCAGGGTGGGGAAGCGGGGGGAAATATGCAAGGCCGGGGGGCGCATGGCCCAATCTTAACTCAGATGGGGCGGTTTCCTAGATTCCTGGAGATCCCTGAAGATTTTAGGGCTCTCAATATTCCTGCGTATCCCTGGTGATTCCTTGACGTTCCCAGAGGTTGCGGGGGATTCCTATATATTAGCGCAGATTCCTGAAGATGCCTGGAGACTCCCAGAGATCCCCAGAGACTCCTTGAGACTCGTAAGCCGTCAAATATTCTCATAGAATCTGCGAGCTTCTGTGACATTCCTAGGGTTTCTTGGAGATCCCGAGATTCCTAGCGATCCCGTAAGATCCCTAGCGATTCCCAGAGATCCCCACATATGCCGAAGGACTCCTAGATATTCCTAGAGATGCCGCGAGATTCTTAGAATTGCTCCAAGACCCTTAGAACGATTCCGATACATGCCTGCATTTTCAGAAATATTCCTGACATATTCCGAGAGATTATCCCATAGTCCCAATGTTTCTGAACAGTGCCTAGAGATTGTTGAGGAGACCTGGATTCCTAGAGAGCCGAAAGGTTCCCACAACATCTTAAGACTTCCAGGAGATGCCATGCAATTCCCAGAGGTTCCTAGGGAGATTCTTAGAGGCCCCAGAAATTCCTCGAGATTCCCCGAAAATCTTTGAGAGTCCCACAGAGCCCTAGTAGTCCTAAGGACTCCGAGAGATTCCAAACTATTCCAACATATTCTTAGAGATCCACAAAGATCCCCCAGACATTCCCAAATATCAGTGAGGATCCGGAGGGGCTCCCAGAGATCCCTGAAGATCCAGAGGGATTCTTATCGACCCCTACAGTTGCCCAAAGGTTCCTGGAGCGTCCTGGAAATTATTTGAAATTCTTAGATCTTCTTAGAGATGCCTGAAGATTCCCCGAGCTTCCTGGGTGTCAGAAAATCATAGAGATTCATTGGGATCCCCAAGCATCCCTGCATATTCCCACAGATCTTCGAACATTCCCGGAGCTTTCTAGAGATTCGAAAAGCTTCCTAGACGCCCCTAGAGATTCGGAGAGATTTCGAGAAATCCCAGATGATCCCACGAGTTGGTGAAACATGCCTTGAGTTTCCTACAGATTCCTTGAGGTTCCTATCGGCTCCTAAAGATGACCCGAGACTCTTGGAGATTCCCGAAGATCCCCAAAGATTTCTAACGCGTCCTGACGACCCCTTCAGATTCCTAGCGTTCCCCAGAGATCCCCAAAGATTCTCAGGGATGCCCCTTCTAGATTCGTGGGGATCCCCGGAGATCCCACATGTACCGACAGATGCCTAAAGAAACCAGGGAATTCCTACATAGTTTTAAAAGCTGCCAAGAGCTTCCGCGAGATTCCTAATCGTATTCGATATTCCTGGACATTCCTGATTATTCCTAAAGCTTCCGCAGGATTCCCGAGGGTGCCCAAAGATTCCCAGAGGTTCGCAGCGATCCCTAGATATTCCAAGACATCCCTAGATATTTCTAGGCATATGCTCTCGAAATCCATTCCCAGAGATTGCTTGAGATTCCTCGAGGTGCCCAGATGTTCTTGAGAGGTTCCTAAAGATGCTAAAGGGGTTTCCTGTAAAAGCCGCACGGTTCCTAAGATATTCCTAGAGATTCTCAAACAAGGTCCCTGCATATTCGAAGAGGTCCCTGACACATCCATTGGAATTCTGACAGATTCCCAGAGACCCCTGGACATTCCTAGATCTTCCCAGGGATTCCTCAGATATTCCAAGGGATTCCTCCAGATTCCCAGGAAGTCCGAACGATATTCCCAGATATTCCTTTTCTCTCCTCTCCTTTTCTCTCCTCGCCTCATGTCCTCTCCTCTCCTCCTTTTCTCTCTTCTCCTCCTTTTCTCTCTTCTCCTCCTCTTCGCTTCTCTCTTCCTCTTCGCCCCTCCCCTCCTTTTCGCCCCTCTCCTCCTGTTGGCCCCTCTCCTCCTCATTTTCTTTCCTCTCCTCCATTTCTCTCCTCTCATCCTTTTCTCTCCTCTCCTCCTTTTCTCTCCTCTCCTCATTTCCCCTCCTCTCCTCCTTTTCTCTCCTCTCCTCCTTTTCTCTCCTCTCCTCCTTTTCTCTCCCCTCCTCTTTTTTTCTCCCCTCCTCCTTTTCTCTCCTCTCCTCCTTTCCTTTCCTTTCCTCTCCTCCTTTTCTCTCGTCTACTCCTTTTCTCCCCACTCCTCCTTTGCTCCCTAAGTCCGTGCCTGAATCCGTGCCGGAAGCCGCGTCGGACACCGAATCGGAAACCGTTTCTGAAACCGTTTCGGGAGCCGTTTCAGAGGCCGTTTCGGAAGTCGTTTCTGAAGCCGTTTCGGGGGCCGTGTCGAAAACCGTTTCCGAGGCCGTTTCGGAAACCGTTTCGGAGGGCGTTTCGGAGGCCGTTTCGGAGGCCGTGTCGGTCGCCGTGTCGGAAACCGTTTCGGAAACAGTGTCGGGAGCCGTTTCGGAAGCCGTTTCGGAAGCCGTTTCGGAAGTCGCGTCGGAGGCCGCGTCGGAGGCCGTGTCGGACGGCCGTGTCGGAGGCCGTGTCGGAGGCCGTGTCGGAGGCCGTGTCGGAGGCCGTGTCGGAGGCCGTGTCGGAGGCCGTCCGAGGTCGCGTAGGAGCGCGTCCGAGGCCGTCCGAGGCCGCGTCGGAGCGCGTCCGAGGCCGCATCTTCTCCTCTCCTTCTCCTCTCCTTCGCCTCTCCTTCTCCTCTCCCCCCCGGGAATTCCTGGAACCCGGAACCCTAGGGTTCCGGGTTTTTTCCTCCCGGGACCTTGAGGAGTTTTGAAAAATCTGGAACCCCCGGGTTCCGGGTTTCCACCCCTGGAATTCTGGGTTTTTCGGGTGGGAGGCTCCTCACAGGGATCGGGGGTGGACAGAGCCCCCACCCTGACACTCAGAGCTCAGAGGAGGAACAGGTACCCATACCTCTACCCCTCGCTGATTCTCCCTTTTTTCGGCCTCCTGGGAGGCCGTCGTCGCCACCGCTGGATTCGCCTCGAAATTCTGGTCAGAACGCACCCCGGGGGAGGTCTGGAGAGTAGCGCTATGGGTACCTCTTGGTCTCCCCAGGCGCGTCGATTCGTGCCTTGTCCGTTTTCGGTTCTCAGGAGGGCGCCGCGGCCGTCATTTTCAAGGTTTGCGCCCGCCGGGTTTGGGCCCGAGGTCGTTTTCACTGAGCCAAGTTTTACTAAAGGGGGTTCTGTCCATCCCCGAAGGGAGGCTGCTTCTTAGAAGGCGGGGGCCTTATCTGTAGACGTAATGCTCGCGCCTTCTAAGACGCAGCTTCCTTCTATAAGAAGCCTTCCCCTTAACCCCCTGCCCCCCTCTGCGCGCCGCCAAAAGACTCGAGTACGCCAGAACCCGGTTTTGCCGACGCTTTTGCCAGCACCTTTTTTCATGGGATGTCTGCAGCGGGAGGTCGCGTCACATTTCAGATGGGTCGCGTCGAATTTCATGATGGCCCCATCAGGCCAAGCCGAGTCCCCCGAACCCTAGTCATGTCTCCCCGATCTGAGCTCCTGGAAGTCCTCTTGAAGCCACGTTGAGCCGAGAAGCCGAGCAGGCGAAACATATTCGAGAATCCGTCACAGGATTTTGACAATCTGGTCAGTCCAGGGGCTGTTTGGGATCGTCTGGGGGTTTCTCTCGAGGTTTTTTGGGGGCCTCTGGGGTCCCTTCTAGGGAGACTCTGGGAATCTTGGGGTCATTTTGGGCGGGGTCAGCTTCCGGACGGCTCGCACGACACACCCCACAAGTTCTTGCAAACCAGGGGCTTGGGCCTTGGATCATTCTGCAGTCCTCCATAGCATTCACAGCTGTACGAGCCCTGGGGCAATTCACTGCGTGCTGAATGCACGATGGCGGATGACGGAAAGGCAGGCTTCGTTCTTGAAGTAGTCTTCGCTTTGGGAATACGAGTATTTGAAGTACGTTTCCGCTTCTATTCTGCTAGTCCCACATCTTCTTTCTCTTCCCCCCCCAATTTCGAGTGGACGCACGAAGTTCCTGGAACCTGCGGCCAGCCTCCAGGCACATCCATATTACACCTGCGACCCCGAACCATCCTGGGCACCTCCGACAGCCTGCACAAGTCGCTTACACGCACGAGACCTCACGCTTCTCTTCCCCATGCCTTCGCTGCCCCTCACGGGACAATGACCACAGCCACTGCTTCTTGTTGGTGCCGCCTTCCAGCCGGCCGAAAAAGAAGCAGTGGTTGTGGTCATTTCCCTGGTGCCAAGCTCAACGAAAATGACCACAACCACTGCTTTGTGTCTGCGGGCTGGACGGCGACAACAAAAGAAAAGCAGTGGCTGTGGTCGTTTCCAAGCCCCGTATCGAAGGACCAGAAGCGGGATCATTTCAAGGAGATGGTGGCCGACAAGCTCAGGCACCGGCGGGGGGGCCAGCCCAGGGACGGTCCCCGAGCGGAGGGGAGCGCTGCGCGGGCGGCAGGGCCGCAGCATGGGGACGGCGCATGGGGAGAGGGGGGAGGGGCACGACATGGGGAGGAGGAGGAGGAGGAGGAGGAGGAGGAGGAGGAGGAGGAGGACGAGGACGAGGAGGAGGAGGAGGAGGGGAGGAGGACGAGGAGGACGATGAGGAGGACAAGGAGGAGGACGAGGAGGAGGAGGAGGAGGAGGAGGAGGAGGGGGAGGAGGAGGCGGAGGAGGAGGAGGAGGAGGAGGAGGAGGAGGAGGAGGAGGGGGGGGAGGAGGTAGTAGGCAGGTAGGACTGCACGGCGACCAGCTGGGACAGGCGCTGGTCGAGACGGTTCCGCGCCGGAGCCCGGAATCAAGGGAAAGGGCCCTCCCCGCAGGTGCGGCTAAACAGCACACCGTTGAGCGATGCTAGAGCCTTCCCTGAGTACAGATGCCCCCAGAGCATCAGCCAGACAAGTCGGGTTTGTCACCCTCATGCTTTGCTGGACCCTGGGCGATGCTCGATGAGGAGGGGGAGGAGGAGGAGGTCTTTCCAGAGCACCTAAGGAAGGTACTTGAGGTACCTGCGTGCAGCCCAGGAGAGGTACTCAGAGGAGGCACCCGATGGCAGCCCAGAAAAAGGGAAGAGCATGCACGACGTCGATTCAGAGACTACCAGGGTCGAGTTCACGCGGCGGCGACCATGATGATGATTCGGAAAACTGGCCCCGGGCCGGGAGACCATTTTCAGGAGGGGAAAAAACACACAGACACAATTAATCGTCGACTCCCCAGAAAATATAGGAAAATATGGGAAGGGGGGGGGAAGACAAAAACCCAGAAAATATGGGAAAACATGGGGGATTATTTTATTGGTGTGTATTTATTGGTGTGTCCCAGTTTCCCTTCATATCTGTTGAATCGTTCCCCCCCCCCCGCCCCCCCCGCGCGGGCGGCCCGCCCAGAGCTGGCCCAGGCTGAAGCCCAGCACACGCCCGCGAGCAGAGGGCCGCTCTGTCGGAGACGGCCAGCACGCCGGCCCGCGGGAGCCACACGGAGACGAGGACCACTTCGGGATGCATCGATGGATCGCCGATGGATCGCCGATTGATCGGCTGATGATCGCCGAGAATCGCCACCCACCAAACCACCCCAACCCAACCCGAAGGCCCCAATGTATCCTCGATTTCCAGTGGGGGGGGGTCGTGGAACATCGAGAAAACACGTATGGAACCCGTACCCCCCCCAACCCGAAATTCGGGTCTTCGGGTTGGGTTTGGGGTGGTCTGGCAGGTAGTCAGATAAAACCAGTCGCCGATTGATCGCCGATGGGGGCCCGATAGCCCCCAACCTGCCCGGGGGCGTGCGGGCTCGCGACCGGGGACCTACCGCCGATCTCTCGGCGGTGCGTCGCCGACTCCAGGTCGAGGGGTCCCCCCTGTGCCACTCCTAAAACGACGCGAAGATCGGGACAAAATCGGATCGGGATAACTCGAAGTCTCTGAGAATCGGCGGGTTTTCGGGCCGGACGAAAGGGGGGGATTGGGAAAGGGGGGGTTACGAAATTTGCTGCATGCAGCTGGTTTCGGCCCCACCGAGGGGCCCGTTCCTCGATACATCGTCGCCTCCGGCGCCGGGAGGCGCCGGGAAAATTAGCTACGTGAGCTGATTCTCAACCCCCCCCTTTGCTATCCCCCCCTTTCGCCCGACCCGAGGTTTGGAGGATGTATTGGGCGCCGCGGCCGCTCCAGAGCGTTCCGGAACGCTCTGAGAGCGCTCCGGAACGCTCTGGAGCGATTTATCCCGATCCTAGCCCTGTTTTAATGGGTCCCCCCCTGTGCCACTCCCCCCCAATGTTGTTGCCCCTCATTCGCGCTACCCTCGTGGGCGGTCCGCTCGGCCACCTCCACAGTCAGGGGGCCCTTTCGCGCTGCCCTCGGCTGCGAGGTCCGGTCAACGGGGAGGCCCATGGCAGCCGCGCGCCGCGCACGTCGCCCTCGATGATGATGGTGATGATGATGATGATGATGATGATGATGATGATGATGATGGTGATGGTGATGGTGATGGTGATGTTGATGGTGATGGTGATGGTGATGGTGATGGTGGTGATGATGATGGTGATGATGATGATGACGATGACGACGATGATGATGATGATGATGATGATGATGATGATGATGATGATGATGATGATGATGATGATGATGATGATGATGATGATGAGGGGGAGGAGGAGGAGGAGGAGGAGGAGGAAGAGGAGGAGGAGGAGGAGGAGTAGGATGATTATGATGGTGATGATAATGATGATGATGATGATGATGATGATGCTGATGCTGATGATGATGATGATGATGATGATGATGATGATGATGATGATGATGATGATGATGATGATGATGATGATGATGATGATGAGGGGGAGGAGGATGAGGATGAGGATGATGATGTTGATGATGATGCTGATGCTGAGGCGGAGAAGGAGGTGGAGGAGGAGGAGGAGGTGGAGGGAGGAGCAGCAGCAGAAACCGCAGCAGCAGCAGACGAGGAGAAGGAGGAGGAGGACCAGTGTAAAACCAATAGTCATCAACGATGTTGGAGTTAACCCTCCTTCCAAGCTCCCTCATCATAGACCCCCACAGCGGTTCATTTCCATTGAGGGAACTGCCTCGTTGGCAGACAATCGTTTGAAGATCTTGAAGCCTGCCAAAACATCGCTCTCAGGATTTCAACGCCACGTATCAACCTGACTGCTGCATCTTGTCGATCCGGAATGGTGCCAGAGCGTATTTTTTTTGTGGATTTCAACACCGCGAGTCAACATAACTGTTGCGCCCGCATATAATCCTGAATCCTTCCAAAACAAAACTTCTGTACGCTGATCATGGGAATCCGTGACACTCTTGCCAATTTTGAAAACGAATGTGCGCGGCGCCAAGGCGAGAGCCACATTTTGAAAAGGAGCCGCCCTCAATCCGTGAAGGTTTTGCAACTTTTCAGGGCAAATGTGCGCGGCGCTAAGGCGAGAGCCACATTTTGAAAAGGAGCCGCCCTCAATCCGTGAAATTTATGCAAATGTTTAAAACGAATGTGCGCGGCGCCAAGGCGAGAGCCACAGTTTGACAACGACCCGCCCTCTAGCCGTGAAGATCTTGCAAAGGTTAAAGAGAATGTGCGCGGCGCTAAGGCGAGAGCCACATTTTGAAGACCACCCGCCCTCCATCTGTTAAAATGTTGTCACGTTTTTAGCTTCAGGGTCACAGCTGGCGGGGAAATCGCAGGCGAAACGCCCGGCCCGCCCTAAAAACAGTGAGGAGTTTTTGTTCGGGGGAAAACAAACCTACCTCGCTTTCGACCACCCTCGCTTCCAAGAGATACCAAACGCTGCCAAATTGCGGCCTGTACTGGTCAGGCCGCTTGACGAGGAGGCGCGTGGTATGGCTTGGTTTTGCCTGGAAGCGAAAGCGGGGTAGGTAATTCACGCTCTGATATTTATAAGGAGAAGGAATGGAGGAGAATGCGGAGGCCTATCGGAGGCCTATCGATCGCCTCTTGAGGCTCTCTTCGGACAAGACCTGGGTCGTGGACGTGCCGCCTCTTTGGGAGGCGTCTTGGGGTCTCTTTGGTGGCCCCTCGGGGGCCTCCTGGCGGCATCTTTTGAAATCCTAGGGCGTCTTGGATTTCCAGAGGGCCTCTTGGGGTCTCGTGGGGCTTCTTGGGAGCCTCGTGGGGGCCTCTCAGGGCCTGGGGGCTTCTTTGGGCCGACGGCTAAAAATGTCCATTCGGGCCCCACGTCTGGACACCCTTTTGGAGCCGTGTTGGGAGCCTCTTGATCTTTCTTGAAGTCCTCTTGGCTCGTTTTGGGGGCCCTCGTAGGTCGTATTGAGGCCCTTTTGGAGAGGCCTCTTGGGCCATCTTGGGGCGACCTTCGGGGCCTCTTGGGCCACCTTGGAGCGTCGGGAAGCCGAAAAGGCGAGAACAGTTGAAAGTTGCCTCTGGGGTCTCAGAGCCCTCTTGGGACTGCTCTTGGAGGTTTTTTGGGGGGCGTCTTGGAGGCATCGTGGGCCGTCTGGAGGCCATCTTGCGCTTCTTAGAGAGATCTTCGGGTGTTTCGGACCTCTGTTGGACTGTCTTGTGAGGCTCTTGGGGCCCACAGGGCTCGACTTGAGGCTTTGGCCTTCTGAGGGCTTTGAAGAGCGGCCCCAGGAGTTCCGGCATCCTTGGCCGGAGTGTCGCGGGGGTGTCTCCGGAGTGTCTCGGGGGTGTCCCGGGAACCCAGAGGCTGCCAAGCGCTCGCAAGCTAGAATATTGTAAACGTGCAACCGGTTCTGTTAGCACGCCTTTGGCCCGTTGTGCAGGTGATTTAACGCTTTGCGTGTATCCACCACCTCATCCAGAAACGATACCCAGGCGACCAGGAGTCGACCATATATGCATTCGCGGGTTCTTCGATATGGGAATTTCTCGACTGTTCATTTTGGCCATGTTGGGACCCTCGTGGTCTGTTTGAAGGAGTGCCCCGAAGGGCATTTTCCTGCGTCGCTCGTCCGCCGCCGCCTTAGCTCAAGGCGGCATCGCCCTATCTGCCTACGTGGCTGGCGCTGCCTGCTGCGCACTATTTGCGGCGCTGGGCAGGAAAGAGACATCTTCCTTGTCCCATCGTTACCGCATCGCCATCTCCCTTCCTATACCCGTACGCCCTCTTCCATACAGCATGAGATGGCAGCCCGCGTTCAGACTTGTTCACGGAGTTGTCGCAACCGCGGCAGCTCTGCTTATCTCCCCTCTCGGCGTGACGACGTACAATTTCGCAGCGGGGAATAATTCGAAGATTACAGAGCAGGGTGGACATCTTCCTGGACGTCCACCTGGTCGGTGCCAAAAACAACGCTACCATTGCGACTCCACCGACGACAACCCGAGTCCTGTGCGCGTCCGACGCCGCGTTTCTCTTTGGGAGGCGACGCTCAATCACGTGCCCCAGCACAGCCTGGAGCACCAGCAGCAGGGTCGCGGACTGCAATTCAGCATGGCCTTCAAGGCGCTCAAGGAAGTTTGGCAGCCTGGGCATCTTCCCGCTGCGGCAGCAACGTCGAGTGCGCCACCAACTGCTCCAACCGACACCCTCTTGGGGAAATCCCACGCAGGAAGACGACAGTGGAACAGACAGCGACGCCACATCTCGTGTGGGTGATACTACGTAGAATTTCCAGGGCCGCATAATGCGGCGACACAGACTTGCCCGAGGACCAGCGTTCGTGGAAGCTTGAGTGAAACAACGTCGCGATGGCCATTGGAGGCGCTATGCACAACGAGTTCGCAGGCTCACGAAGCGGACCAGACCCTCGAAATAAAAGGCAGGGGATGACGCGACGGACGCCGACGTCTCCAGGCAAGGATCTTGAAACGAAGTGATCGCCCTCCACGACGACGCACGCGAGGAATTCTTCGGCGGCTGCGGCAAGTGCCGAGGACAAGGCGCCAGACACCGATTGAGATCGTCCGGTAAAGGCAAACGCCGACGACCAAATTCCGTCGTCAAGGGCGGTCGGTTCATGACGTGCCACGGCTGGGGAACATCTCAATGCGCGCTGCGCGATTGTCCACAACCCGCATTGGCGCGTCGGGATACAAGGACCTGCCAAACTGCAGCCAGCAAGAGCAGCTGCATGTCATCGAGGCCATCGAGCAGTACAACGTTGTGGAGCAATACAACGTTGACCCGCACCAGTCAATCGACGACTGGCTCGTGGGAGCCCGGCCCTGGAAACGCGAAGGAGGACATGCAGAAGCATTGCTTCCTCGATCGGTGACTCATGAAAGTGAGCAATCAGACAGCACGCGTTAATTACGAGACCATCGACGACAACGGTGACAGACCCGACCCAATTTCATCATGATCTTCACAGCCAGTAGTTGGACCGGCACAACCAATCGACCCACGTGCACCACCACGCAGCGATGACGAACCGGAAATGGTGCATCGACGCTCTCCAAGTATATGGCTACAGGTTCACACCCTTGGGATCTTATGCTGGAGTTCAGATGCCAACCACACAGGTACAACAGCTGCTTGATCAGTTTGGGCGCCGAAGCGGCCGGACACCAAGCGCACCGGTCACGGATGTTGCACAATCGCGTGTTGAGGGATGTTGCATGCATTCACGCTGTGGCAGAAAGAAAAGGTCGAGCATTACTTGAGGGCAGATTTGTGCGCATCGAAAGTCTACGTGCCGAGACCACCGTACAAAATGCAGACGCACCCACCTTCTACAGCGACGCGGAAGCCAGCGGCGTCGATGCAAGGACCACATGGGACCCTACAGCAAACGGCAGACGACACCGCCTCTTTTATGATCCCGACCAGGAACATACGATCGCATAAGGTCACGATTCCCCACAAAGAAGATCTAGTTCTGACGATGAGGAGTCGTTCAGCCTGACCATGGGGCACTAAATCTTGGCTGTGCAGGCGGTCCCTGAGACAATAGTGGAGTCCAGCGAGATCGTCGCCAGGCGCCCGATTCGCTCTCTCTGTCCCCTCGCCGGGTCTTGGTCAGGGGCCTTCTGCCCGCATATTGTGTGTTTTGTTGTGCGCGGTGTTGTGAAACGACTCAGGCTGAAAAGCTGGTCCCCGGGAACACGTCGAGCCGTCTACGGTAGGTTTGCGTCGTGTCGACCAGCGGCGACCCCAGCGCGGGCGTTCAAGGTTGAACGCCGCCGGCGACCCAGAGTCGATCGATGTTGAACGATCGGACGTTGCGGCAGCGGCCGATCGTTCAAGGTTGAACGATCCCTGCGGCGTCAAAAGCCAGCGCTGGGGTCGGCACGACACGAACCTGCCGTAGGCATCGACGTTCTGCCTGCGCAAGTCGCCGCGCGCCTGCCCGGAAGTGTCTCGCACGAGGTCCGGGCCTCTGACAGCTGTTGCGGGCGGAGGCCGGCCCCCGTTTCCACAGGGGGCCTCTTGCGGCACTTCTCCCTGGCCTTCATGCAGGGACCGACCTCAACGCTGTTCAGCTTGTTTTGGGCCCTCGTTCTATGTTTCGTTTCGTTCTTCGTCGTTCGTTTTCGTTTGGCACCGGCTTCGTTTTGAATGTTCGTTTTCAACGTTGGGCCTCGCTTCGCTTGTCGTTGTAGACGCCAGCTCATCTAAAACATCGTTGTGGTCGGCCACTGCCTTCACGTTTCGCCCCATCTCGGAGCGACGCCAACAATGCACCACCACCAGCCCTGGCCAGGTCCATCCTGGACCCTGGACTGGTGCATAGACCTCCTGGCCTAGGCCAGGAGGTCATGTACACCAGTCCAGGGCCCAGGACAGGCCTGGCCAGGGTTGGTGGCGGTGTACTGTTTGGAGCTCTCGTGCCCATCTCGTGCCCCTCGCACCGAAGAGCGCAAGTTCCTGCTCAAGTCGGCGCTCTCCCGCCTCCATCGCAGGTCCGCGGGGCGCTCGCGTTGGCGGGGGGCGCTCCCCCCGCATTGGAGAGGGACGCTTGCAGGGACCAGTGGCGAATGAGGGACTCGGGAGGGGAGTTTGCGTTGCGGTGCAGCATCGCTGTCGCATCCTGAGTTGACTCTGGTCCTCCTCCTCCTCCTCCTGCTCCTCCTCCTCCTCCTCCTCCCCCTCCTCCTCCTCCTGCTCCTCCTCCTCCTCCTCCTCCTCCTCCTCCTCTCCTCTTCCTCCTCCTTCTCCTCTTCCTCCTCCTCCTCCTCCTCCTCCTCCTCCTCTTCCACTCCTCCTCCTCCACTCCTCCTCCTCGTCCTCCTCTTCCTTCTCCTCCTCCTTCTTCTATCCTCCCCGGCATCATCCCCCTTGTTCCTCTTTGTTCCTCCCCCGCCATTCTGGTGACGTCCTGGGGTGCCCCTGGGGGTACGCCCTGGGCGGTCCCAGGAAGCCCAGAGGGGGCGTCCTTGGGAACCCGGGGGGAGCCCGGTGGAACGTCTCCTCCTTGTCTTTCGCGTCGCTGCCGCCGTCGCCGTCGTCGCCCTCATCCTCTCCGCCGCCGCCGCCGTTGTCGTCGTTGCCGCCGCTGCCGTTGCCGTCGTTGCCATCATTGCTGCCGTCGTTGCCGCCGCCGCCTTTCCTTTGCTGTCACCGCCGCCGCCGGTGCCGTCACCGTCGTCGCCGCCGCCGCCGCTGGGCAGCGGCGCGCCTCGGCCGACGCGCAGGCAGGTGATCCAGGGCGTGCGCGGGGCCGACGGGGCCGGGGCCGCGGGCGGCAAGGGGGGCGACCAGGCGCGGGAGCCGCTCTGGGCTCCCTCGGGGCCTCGGGCGGCGAGGAGCTCGTAGGCGCAGGGCCCAGTTCGATGCGCGCGATCCGCTTCGATGTCGATTGTGGCTGGCCCGATCCGATTTGATTCCGTCGTGCCGACGATGTGATGTGGCCCGATGCTTGCGTGGCGTCGTTGTGCATCTCGGCGCAGCCGAGCCGACTCGATCTCGATTCGGTGCCGATGCAGTCCGACCCGATACATATTTCGATCCGATCCGATTCACCGATTCGATGCTCACTCATCCTACGTAGAGGGATGAGGGGAGGTCTGGCACTTTGAGGGAGCCTCCTGTATTGGCCCTCGTCGCCTGGGCTGGATCCACCTCGGACGGTTTGGCCGATGCGCGCGTGGGCGGGTCCAGAAGTCGATGCTTGACCCCCGCCATCCAGCTCCCCTCGCGTCGTGAAACAGATCGCGGCGCACGGCAGCTGGCATGTTTTTGGCCTTTCTGTAGGGCGATCGGAAGCCCCAATAATCGAGATCTCCCAAGGGAGAATCGCTGTTGTTCGCCTCCTCGGGCTCTCCTGGAGGGCTTCTCTTAGAGCACTCTTGGATGCCCCCTGGGGCCTCTCGGGGCTTCCTGGGCCGTTTTCAGGAGTCTCCTGGCCCACCTGACGCCTTCGGAGGCCGTCTTGCGAGCCTCTCTGGGCCGTCCACTGTCCACTCCTTGGAGCGCTTTCTGGCCGCCTTGGGTCCCCGTTGGGCCCTGTTGGGGGCCTCTTGAGCGATCTCGTTGGGGCCTCTTGGGAGTGGAAACCCAAGCAGGCGAGAATTCAAAATCCTTCAACGACTGATTGGGATTCGTTTTGTGTGCCTCCTACACCTGTCTTGGGGGGCCCCTTGGGGGCTGCCTGCGGCCTCTCTGGGGCCTCTGGGGCCGTCTGGAGGGCTCCGGGCACGTCTGGCGCTCTCGGAAGCCGTCTGGAGGGCTCTTTCCGGGCCGTTTTGGCGCTCTCGTGGAGCGCTCCGGGGCCGTCTTGGGGCCCTTTTGGGAGCCTCTTGGGCGATCCTGTGGTCCTCTTTGGCCGACGTGGGGCCCTCTTGGGGCCGACTCAGCGATCTTGGAGCGTTCTTGAAGGCCTCTTGGGCCGCACTGGGCGGTCGGAAGCCCCAGGAATCGGGAACTTCAGAATCCAGCGAACATTTTTGTGTTCGCCTCCTCGGGCTGTCCTCGATGGCCTCATGGAGCCCTCTTGGGCCGTCCTGGAGGCCTTTTGGGCCGTCTGGAGGCCGCCTTGAGGGTCTCTTCAGCCGTCTTGGGCCATCTCGGCGATTTTGTATTGTCTAGGCTGTCTGGGAAGCCGTTTCGGAGGTCACCTTGTCCGTCTGGAGGTCGAGGAGGGCGCGGGGGAGCAGTTTCAGGAGGTGCGGTCTACGCGAGCGCGTGCGAACCGGGGGGGGCGGTCCTTGAAAACATGTCAAAAGAACTCCCTGAGGGACCCCAGGAGCCATTCTAACACGCCCACGCCGTGCAGGCCCGGCGGCGGACTGCACCGCGCAGACTGGACGACGTAGACTGCGCCATCTGGACGGCATCACCTTCAGATTGATCCACATAGGTGGCGCTGCACACATATGGTGAGGCTGCTTCACGCCGAATGCACCATGCATACACTTTGCATAGTGTAGGTTGGACAACGAGACTGCGTTTGCCTATTGCTTGGGGCCACGGTGGCGAACATGTTTAACAAGTCTGTCCATACAACAATGAGAAAGTATCGAAGACGCCTACGGTGAACCGCCGCCGCTCCCTGCATCTTGGAGCGCTTATGTGGCCAAGTGTTTGGCCAACGCTTGGACTACGCGTTCCCCAAGCCGCCGCCCTCCGAGAGACGGAGGGAGAAATATTGGAGGGGGCGAGGGCCCAATTGGCGGGACCGAGCTCCTGGGGGAGGTGTCTGGGGAGGGGCAGACATTCCAGGCTCCGAGGAGCACCCAGTGCGTCGGCGTATCGCTGACGTCATGGAGGATGTCACCATGGGCCTCTTGATCAGGCGCCCATGGCCCCCAGGACGCTCCAGGACGCCTCCCTCCACCTCCACCTCCCCTCCTCCTCCTCCTCCTCCTCCTCCTCCTCCTCCTCCTCCTCCTCCTCCTCCTCCTCCTCCTCCTCCTCCTCCTCCTCCTCCTCCTCCTCCTCCTCCTCCTCCCTCCTCCCTCCCTCCCTCCCCCCTCCCTCCCCTCCCCTCCCTCCCCCCTCCCTCCCTCCCTCCGTCCCTCCTCCTCTCCCCCTCCTCCTCCTCCTTCCTCCTCCCTCCTCCCTCCTCCTCCTCCTCCTCCCTCCTCCTGCTCCTCCTCCCTCTCCCTCCTCGGGTCCCTCCTCCCTCCTCTATCCTCCCTCCCTCCTCCCTCCCTCTCTCCTCACTCCTCGTTCCTCACTTCTCCTCCTCCTCGTCTTGCTCCTCCTCCTCTTCCTCCTCCTCTTCCTCACTGGACCCAGGGAAGGGGAAGGGGAAGGGGTTTGGAGAGGGGCAGAGATTCCAGACGCCGAGGACCCCCCCAGGGGGTTGGCGAATCGCTTACGTCATTGATGCTGCCACGATGGGCGTCTTATGGGACCATGTTCGACGATCCTCAGGACGTGTGTTTGCCCAATGTGAATCTACGCCGGTCCGCTCCGCCATGGGCACACAGCCAGTGTCGACCCTCACGACGTTTCTGAGTCGCATGTGAACGCTTCCTCCTCCTCCTCCTCCTCCTCCTCCTTGCTCCTCCTCCTCGCTCCTCCTCCTCCTCCTCCTCCTCCTCCTCCTCGTCCTCCTCCTCCTCCTCCTCGCTCCTCCTGCTGCTCCTCCTCCTCCTCGCTCCTCCTCGCTCATCCTCCTCCTCCTTCTCCTTCTCCTCCTTCTCCTCCCCTCTCCTCCTTCTCCTCCTCCTTCTCCTCTTCCTCCTCCTGCTCCTGCTCCATCTCCTCCTCCTCCTCCGCCTCCCGCTCCGCCTCTTCCTCCTCCTCCTCCTCCTCCTCAGCTTCCTCCTCCTCGTGGACAAGCACACGTTGTCGCTGGCACACGTTCTGAGGACCATCGACATGTGCTGCAACGACGTCGACGATGGCCGTGCAGGCTCTCGCCGTAGGACCACTGCGATGCAGGCGCCTCCCGGTAGCCAGAGTGGCCGCGCCAATGAGTCTCTCAGAGGGTGAAACGATACCCATACCGCTGCTTTTCCCTCGTATTCGGCTTTCTGGGCCCTTAGGAGGCCTTCGTCACCACCGCTGGATTCGCACCGAAATCTGGGTCAGAACACGCACCCTGGGAGAGGTCCAGGAGAGGCCGCGCCAATGAATCTGGCCTCTCCGCGCCCTATCCCTGTGTCTGGCATGACCCTACCTCTCGGTGCCGAGCGTAAGGATTCCCCCAGCTTCGGAGGGCACGTCCCCGCGATCGCCCTCGCCCTGGGCTCGCCGACCTTGGGGATAGGGATAAAAGTTCGATGCTGCTTAGACCTTCGACTGCGCAGCCGATGCGCAGGGGTCCTCCTTCTCCTCCTCCTCCTGCTCACTCCTCCTCCTCTTCCTCATCCTCCTCCTCCTCCTCCTCCTCCTCCTCCTCCTCCTCCTCCTCCTCCTCCTCCCCCTCCTCCTCCCCCTCCTCCGCCTCCTCCTCTTCCTCCTCCTCCTCCTCCTCCTCCGCTGGCCCGGTTGGCGCATCGGCGACGGCTAGCTCGAGGCGGGCCGAGCCCGGCGGGCCTCTGCCGCGAGGGCTCGCTGCCCCGGCGCCCCCCCCGGCCTTGACCCCACGCCCGCCCGGGCGGCACCCCGGACCGCGGCCGCGGGGTTCCGCGCTTCGCGCAGGGTGGACAGGGGAGGAGGGGGGCTCTGCTTTTTTAGGCCTCCTGGGAGGCCTCGGGATCAGCGAGCGAAGAACGGTATGAAATAAACTTTTTCACTGCCGGGGGCGCCTGTCCCTGGGCGGCTGGAAAGTTTATACCCCTACGGTGCCACCGTAAGGGTATAAACTTTCCAGCCGCCCTGGGACAGGCGCCCCCGACAGCGAAAAAGTTTATGTTATACCGTCCTTCGCCCGTTAATGGGAGGCCTTCGTCGCCACTGCTGGATTCGCCACGAGATTCTGGTCAGAACGCATCCCGGGGGAGGTCCAGGGAGTAGCGGCATCGGAGTACCTTTTTGTGTCCCACTGTGACAGAAGTGGCGCCTCGCTTCCGCAGCGCGTGCGGCAGTTGGGCCCAGGCCCACGTTGGGAGATCTTCTGCGCTACCCAATTCAGCGATCACGCTACGATCAAGTCCCAACTCGAGGCGCTCCAGATGCTACAGGAGCAGCCCAAAACGAATTCCTCCTGACAATACCGCCGTCCCCTGCGCAGCGCGGAAAGGGGGTCCGCTCTGATCTACCTTTCTTCGTCCTCTTCCTCCTCCCCTTTTTCCTCTTCCCCGTCCTGACCGGCGCGACCAGGCGGGCAAAGGCGATGATGTGGAGAAGATGAAGGCGAAGATAAAGGATACCGGTCGACCCTGATATATTATGTTGGCGCGGAAGATTAGAGGAGCATTGTGATGAGGGGACGAGGAGGAAGAGGAGGAGGAGGAGGAGGAGGAGGAGGCAGAGGAGGAGGAGGAGAAGGCAGAGGAGAGAGTGGACAGATTGGGTGTGCGCGCTCACTGTAACATCGTACCCATCGCAACCATCCTTTCCCATGGCGTTGGTTTTTGTTATGTGATTCGCGGACGCATGTCCTGGCGGAGGTGGAAGTCGGAAAAGGACCTCATCGTGTCATGCACAGTCGGAAAAGGGAGTTGCGTACATAGTTGGAGGTGCAGGGGGATGTTGTTGATGAGCAGGAAGACAAGGATGAGGCAGGACCAGGACGAGGACGACCAGCAGCAGGGTGCGGGCTGGAATGAGCGGGAGGAGCAGGAGAACCAGGGGAAGGCGAAGGAGGGAAAAGGAGCGGGGTGACAACGATGTCGAAGGACCCGGATCCAGACAAGTGGCTCGCGCTGGGGAGAGAGTTCCATTCTGAACGGCGGGAGCAAAGCGCCCCCCCCCCAACCAAAAAATATTTTGAGACATTGAGAACGCTCCGAATTAAACAAGCACACGGGACAAAATACCAAGCAATGGAACCTGTGTGTGAATGAAGCAGTGCGCTGAGGGGGGCGGGCTGTTCCTTGTGCATCTTTGGAGGTGGAGGAGAGTAGTATTCAGATGACGCATCTTTGGAGTGGAAACAGGATGTGTTGAGCTTTTGAGTTGGATTCGGCAAGGTGTCAGCGGGCTTCGCTCGGCGGGAGGATTACTGACTGGCGTTCGAGAGCGGCTGCGTCCCAGGCTGAAGAACGCAGACCGCACGCTGGCGTTTGCACGATCTGATCGCCGAGCAACCGCTCGGCTAGCGCAAACTGCGGTATCCCCACGGACAGCCTCCCCGCACGGCAAACGGCCATCGAAACCCCAGCGGGGGGAGCGGTATTGACGCTCTGCACGCAGGCTCCACGCACGCTCGCACGCGCGACACCCGTGCCGCGTGCGTGCACCAGGCTGGATCTTGCCCCCGTCCTCGTCGGTGCTACGATTGGCAATCAGATGGCCCGTTCTGCGAGAAGGGATTCTCAGACTGATGGGCTAGTTTTCCATCACCACTACTATAGGTAGGACGGGGGGGAAGGGAGGATGGGGAGGTCGTCCTCTCCTTCTCCTCCCCCTCCTCCCCTTCCTCCTCCTCCTCCCTCCTCCTCCTACTCCTCCTCCTCCTCCTCCTCATCCTCCTCTTCCTTCTCCTCCTCCTCCTCCTCCACCTCCTCCTTCTCCTCCTCCTCCTTCCTCTCCTACGTATGGTAGTAATGGCGAGAAACGGGCCCATCACAGACAGCTCCGGGGTTGCGAGAGCCACCGCTGCGGCTGTCGCCGCTACTTCGCGCGTCGCCGGTTGGATTTGTCGACAGGAGGGTCCGTGGCTTCCACCGCTGCACCTCGTGCTCGCGGTCTTACCCATCCTTCCTCGCTCAATATTCCTCGTCTTCGTCCCTTCCCTTATGCTACACTTCCTTATTTCCCACCTTCATCCCAGATGACGAGAGGGAGGAACAGGAGAACTGAAGGAAGGTTGGAGGACCGAGGAGGATGATGGAGGGTGCTGGAGGGTGGGGGAAGACGATGAGGAGGATGTCAAGCAGTGGCGGAGCGTCCGGGCTCGCCTATAGCCCCACCAAACAATGTTCAAAGGACTTTTTGTGGTATGCACGAAATGTTCTTAGAATATTTCTGGTTGAGAGGTTGAGACTGTCTCGGTTTAACACATCGGGTTAATGTTCTCAGAACATTGTTTTTGTTCTTAGAACATGTCTGGGTTCGAAGAGCATGTCGTGGTAGGACTATAGGAATGCCGGGACGGTCGGTCCCTGCTCAAGGATGGCCCAAACCCCACCCGTGATAAAAAAGATCCTTGGCGGCGTACCCAATCCTTGCGCAATGCGGGGCATGAGTAACTTGGGATACGTTAGACAGAGGTGATGACGTGACATGGGCGCATATACTTCTGCGAGCGGCATTCGTGAGGCTCGCAGCCCCCCAGGGATTGCCAGGTCCCGCTCAGATCTGCGCGGTGCCCTTGAAAGTGGTGACGGTTTCGCAGATCGCAACCCCCAGGGACGGCGAGGTCTCGCGTAGATCTGCGCGGTGCCTCACCCCGCTGGATCCACCAGCAGCCCTCGAAAGTGGTGACAGTTTCGCAGATCGCTATGCAAGCCCCCCGAGCAGCCCCTCCCAAGGATGGCGAGGTCTACTCCTACCAGCAACACCCCCTCCCCCACCTGGCCGGCAGCCAACCAGGAACCATGCGCACACCACGAGGGCCCCCCCACCATCGTTGTCAAAAACAGTACGATTTGCACATTGCGGGGCCCGCCCTGCCAACACCTTCCACAACCCCTGCAAAAAACAATACGAAGTGCACATTGCAGCAAACTCTGGACAGTTTGCTGGCGCCCTGTGAGCACGTTCGATTGTTTTTTGTTGCCAGGGATGGCGGGGCACCCTTGGTGAGGCCTCTTCGTGCAGGACCACCACCCGTGTCAAAAACAATGCAACGTGCACGTTGCGACAACGTCTTGGGTATTGCGCTGGCCACCCGCGATCATTTTGTATTGTTTTTTTTGACAGGGGCGGCGGTGGCGCACGCATAATGATGGTTGCTGTGTGCAGGCCCAGAACAAATCTGACGCCCCCCACATCAGCATCTGGACCACGCGGGCTTGTTTTACATGGATGGCACACCAACACACCGTCCGCTTTGGTTCCCAGTGGCTGTCCATTCAGTGGCGGCCCCTGGCTATGCCGAGACTCGAATGCCACTTATGTGGTGGGAGGGCGGGCGGGAGTGAGCTACACAGCTTGCGTGCGGAAAGGGTGTCTTGACCCCTCCCCCTGCCCACGGACTCGGCGAGGAAGCCACAGTCATTGCTTTTATGAAGGTTTCGGCCCCATTGTGGCCTCCTGGAGGGGAGACCCTAACTAAGGAACCCCCCTTTTTTGATCGATCTCCTCCGAGATGGCCCCAAGAGCGCTCCCAAGGCTCCCAAGGGTGCCCCAAGAGGTGGCCAGGAGGCCCCACGGGGCCCCCAAGAGGCCCCCAGGATGCCCCCAAGAGGCTCCCAAGAGTCCCCCAAGAGGCCCCAAGAGGCACCCCAGAGGCACCAAACACGCTCCAAGAGGCCTCGGCGAGAATGCCAAAAGCATTGGTTGTACGAAGGTTTTGGCCTCATTTTGGCCTCCTGGGGGGTACTGGTTAAGATGATTCCAAGAGCGCCTGGGAGAGCCCAAGATGACCTCCAAGATGGTTCGAGATACCCCAAGATGCCTCAAGATGGCTCCCACGATGCTCCCAGAGGCCCCAAGACCGCTCCGAGACGGCTCCAAGTGGCCAGAGAGTTCCCCCGGCACGCCCCGAAGAGGCCAACATCCTTCCAAAATTTTAGGACAACCCATGTGTTTGGCCTTCTCATCTTTTCGCTTCCGATGGCCATCCGAGGCTTCAAGAGAGGCCCACGACGGCCCCGAGAGCGCCCAAAAGCGTTCCAAGAGCGCCCCAGGAGCGCCCCAAGAGGCGACTGTTTGGGCTCCCGGGGGGCAACGCTAATTAATGCTCCTCTATTGTGTGATCGATGTCCTTCAACATGGCCCCAAGCGCGCTCCCCCAAGGCCCCCAAGAGCGCTTCAAGAGGGCGCCAAGAGGTGCCCAGGAGGCCCCAGGAGGCACCAACAGGCGCCCAAGAGGCCTCCAGGAGGCTCCCAATAGACCCCCAAGAGGCCCCGAGAAGCTCTGCGAGGCACACAAGACGCTCTAAGCGGCGCCCGGGGCCGCCAAGAGGCCTCCAAGACGCTCCAAGAGGCCTCCACTGGGGGACCTTTCCTCTGTGTGCTGCCCACTTGCCTGATCGAGGTAATTCTTTTGGGCATCGTTTCTGGATGGGCTGGTGGGGTTACTTTTTCCGCTCGCGAGCGCAAGCGGAGGTGCCGCGCGCCGTCAGGAAATTGAAAACTAGCAGCGACCTAAATTACGGCCGAAGAGGGAGCCAAAGCGACCAGAGCGCGCTACGCAGTCGCTCAGGCGGCGGAGCCGGAGTAGCCCATGAGGTCCGCCAGGCCGTGGAGGTCCAAGAAGAGGGCCTCGATGCACATCTCAGTGATGAATGAATTGAGGCTTCAGTCTCAGGATGGAGAGCCAAGACAGCCGTCGTGCATGTGCTCGCCATACGCGTAGCGAAGAAGCAAGCGGAAGACGAAACGGAGGTCGCCGCCATCTGACAACCGTCGTGAACGTCAGTGCGCGTCGCTGCCAGCCTGCACTCGCGTGTGGGGTGGAGGCTGGTGGGGTTACTTTTTAGTCAGCGAAGCGCGAGAAAATTAAAGCAGAGGCGACGCGCGAGGCAACAGCTACGCGCCGGCCGAGGCCTCACGCAGCGGCCCAACGGCAGGGGGGTGGCTGAAGGGACTGAGACTGAGGGGAAGTGCCAGCGTGCACTAACCGGTGGGGTTACTTTTTTTTGATTGGCGGCTTCAAGGACAGCTCCAGGAAGCGGGACGTTCTCGGCTGGGGCACAGGGCGAGATAATTAGCGGCGACGGCGCATAGGCCGACGCAGCTGGTGCACGTGCCAGGGACAACATGCCCCCCAGTAAGATGCAGGCGACCCGGAAGCGGGGACGCAGGCATCAGAAACGGACGGAGGAGGAGTCGCACAGTGGCGCCAGCTCAGTCCGTACCGACCAGCGCGTAAGGGCGTGGGACACGCCGCGCTGTGGCAGCACGGAGGGGCCAGTGAGGCCGTACCGTCCAACACGACGAGGAGGCGAAGGCGCGGGTAAAGGCGGCGGGGGCGAGGGCACGCGAGGACAGAAGAGGGGGGGGACCGAGGAACGCGTCACTCACATGGACTCCTGGAAGTACTCGGGCATGAGCGACCGACCTATGCAAGGAAACGTCGGCCCTGTCTCCCGAGTCCACAACCTGCAACTGCCTGACTCCGAAAGCCGGGGGGAATCAGCTGCAAGCGCTGGTCGAGCACCACGGACCACCCTGCGGGAGGGCCGGTAAGCACTGCCAAAGGATAAACTTTTTGTGCAGTATCAAGATTTCGGAGGCGGCGCCCGCCGTGGGAAGCGAGACAACCAAGTCGTCGGCGTACAACGCGGGCATCTTATCCGTCACGGGGGACGGGGGCACAAAGATGCGAGCGTCAACCTAGGTAGCAGGGGCGGATCTGTGGGGGGAACAACGGCGACCTGCCAAAGGATGAACCACTTGTCAGGACAGCGCTCACCTCAGGTCCGGCTCCAGGTGGTGCCGGAGCGGGTGGCGCGCCGGGCTGCACCATGCCGTAGCCCAGCACCTGAAGCGCCGCGAACCGCTCCCAGTCCACGCGGGCGATCCGCGCCCGCTCCAGGGGCTGGAGGAGTCCGTACCTGCGGGGACGGACTGCCGCCGACCCTGGCTGCCCAGATCATCACATGGCAGCCGCGCTGACCGAACGCACCTCGGAGCCCTGCCAGTGAGCCTCCAGGTGCCCATGGATGCCCGAGTGCTCCGGTGGAGCGGGCCGGTAGGGGGGAATCCGTGCGGCACAGCGAGCCGAATCAGCACAAGAGGAGGAGGAGGAGGAGGAGGAGGAGGAGGAGGAGGAGGAGGGGAGACGCAGCCGATAGCCGCACAACCAGTGAATAGAAGGAGGAGGAGGAGGAGGAGGAGGAGGAGGAAGAGGCAACACCAAGGTCGATGCTGCGTGGGCAGAGTGGCCTCTGTGGTCCCTCCACCGCTCCCTGCGGAGGGCCTTCAGTGACCGCGGGGGGAACAACACGCCAGACCTCTGTGGGGGACTGCGCAGTCACTTGCCCAGAGCAGCGCAGCCTGGAGGATGTACGTGAGGCCCGGTGAATTGGAGGAAGAGAAGGAAGAGGCGGCACCTATGTCGATGCTGTGTGGTCGGAGTCACCTCTGTGATCCCTCCACCGCTCCCTGTGGAGGGTCTTCAGTGACCTCGGGGGGAACAACACCAGTCGGAGTCACCTCTGTGATCCCTCCACCGCTCCCTGTGTAGGGTCTTCAGTGACCGCAGGGGGGGGAACGTCAGTCCAATGTCGGAGTCACCTTTGTGATCCCTCCACCGCTCCCTGTTGAGGGTCTTCAGCGACCGCGGGGGGGGAACAACACGCCAGTCCACTGGCGGAGGACAGTGCTGTCACTTCGTCGGTGCCCTGGATCTCCACTCCACAGGCCTCTGCCTTCCTTGTTGTTGCTCGCACGCCCCGAACAATCAGAGAAACCACGCGCAGAGAAGGCAGCCAGCGAGCCGAATCGGCGGCCTCGGCGACACGCAAAGGGGGCGAACAGGCAGCGTGTCGCCCAGCACCGGGGGGCGGGAGGCCAGGAGAAGCTCGGGACGCAGGCGTCCAGGGATCGGGCACCGAGCACTGGCCGCACGAGCCACCGCAGCCGTCGTCACCGCACACGAGCCCCTACGACACGCAGCCTGGGGTGCATGTCGGGGTCGGGTAGGGCGTCGCCGTCGGCTCCGTCGTCGGCGCAGCGTCGCAGTCAAAGCCGGGTCAGGCGTCGCAGTCGGCTCCGACGTCGGCTCTGGCGTTGCAGTGGGAGCCGGATGAGGCGTCGCTCCGTCGAACCACACCTGCCGAGCTGCCCGTGCCGTATCCTGGCGACGTGCGCTGGCCGCACGAGTCACCGCAGCCGACGACTCCGAGGCGAGCCCCTGCGACACGCAGACTGAGCATGTCGGAGACGGACAGGGCGTCGCTGTCGGCGCCGTCGTCGGCGCAGGCGTCCCAGTCGCAGCCGGGTCGGGCGTCGCAGTCGGCTCCGTCGTCGACGTTGACGTCGCAGGAGGGGGCAAAGGTGTCGCCGTCGGCACCGTCGTCGGCGTGTCGCCGCGGTCGGGGCCGGCCCAGGCAATCTATGCAGTGCTGACCCAGGGGGGGGGGGAGGAAGGGAGGCGCAGCCGATAGCCGCACAAACTGGTGAATTGGAGGAGGAGGAGGAGGATGAGGCGGCCCGCAGTGACGGTGCTGACCGGCCTGGGTCTCGTCTGCTTGGTCCCTCCACCGCACCATGTGGATGTACCTCAGTCACCGCGGGGGGGTCCTGCTCGCCTGTCCACCAGGCGGGGGGTCTGTGCTGCAGCCTTCCCTGGGTACCGCACGTCTGCCTCCAGGCGCATCCTCCACCGACGCCACACACCCTCACAGCGTGTTTCCTCCGATGGAGAAGCACGGCACGTCCGACAACAGTCAGTCAGAACCAAGGGTGAAGACGAAAGAGAAACCCAATCGCGCTGATGAGTACGGTGTACAACTCGTAGTCGACAGAGTCTAGAAGCGAAGCGTCTAGAATTTGAATCTGCGGCGGCTACCCACGATGCCGGCCTCCCAAGCAGCCCTCGAAATTGGCGACAGTTTTGCAAATCGCAGCCCCGCCCCAGGGATGGCGAGTTCCAATTTGGATCTGCGGCGGCTACCCACTATGCCGGCCCCCAAGTAGCCTTCGAAAGTGGCGCCAGTTTCGCAAGTCGCAGCCCCCCAGGGATGGCGAGGTCTAGTTTGGATCTGCGGCGGCTACCACCATCTATGTTGGCCCCCCAGGCAGCCCCCGAAAGCGGCGATAGTTTTTCAAATCGCAGCCCCCCAGGGATGGGGAGGTCTATTTTGGATCTGCGGCGGCTACCCGCTATGCTGGCCCCCCCACGCAGCCCTCCAAAGCGGCGGCAGTTTCGCAAAGCGCAGCGCCCAAGGGATGGCGAGGTCTACTTTGGATCTGCGGCGGCTACCCACGATGCTGGCCCCGCCAAGCAGCCTTCGAAAGTGGCGACAGTTTCGCAAATCGCAGCCCACCCGGGATGGCGAGGTCTATTTGGGATCTGCGGCGGCTACCCACGATGTTGGCACCCCAAGCAGCCCTCGAAAGTGGCGACAGTTTCGCAAATCGCGGCCCCCCAGGAATGGCGAGGTCTATTTTGGATTTGCGGCAGCTACCCACCATGCCGCCCCCCCCCCAAAGGAGCTTTCGAAAGTGGCGACAGTTTCGCCAGTTTCGCAAATCGCAGCCCCTCCCCCAGGGATGGCGAGGTCAATTTTGGATTTGCGGCGACTACCTACTATGGTATCCCCCCCAGCAGCCTTCGAAAGTGGCGGCAGTTTCGCAGATCGCAGCCCCCCAGGCAAGATGCACACACAAGAGGTACCGCAGGCAAGATGCATACACAAAAAGTGCGCACAAGGCAAGAGGAGACAAGAGGGAGGCGTGAGAATGAAAGGAAGGAAGGACGCGCGAGCAGTGCTCGATTCGAAACGATTACCCGACCAAGGAGGGTTGGGAAATAAATCTGGTCCTGCTTTATTGTTCCTCGACCCCATCCCACCCCATAATTTCTCTTCTTCACCATCCTCACCCGCCTTGTCCTGCCTTCCCTTACTGCCCATCCTTCTCCACTCCACATCATCATATTACCCATCTTTTTCCGTTACGCCCTGAATATTTTTCGCTTTCTACACCTCCTCCTCCTCCTCCTGTCTCTCCCCTCCTCCCTCCTCCTTCCCGCTTCGCCTTTTTTCTCCTACGACGACGGTCACAGCCACGATGACGAAGACGACGACGGCTACGACGACGATGATACAGATGACGGCGGCGGCCGTGGCGAAGGCGGCGAGGACGTCCAACATGGCCATGACCACGACGAGCACGACCACGACGACGACCACGACGAAGATGACGCACCGACGACGACGACGACAACGACGACCAGGCGACGGCGACGACGACGACAACGACGACAACGACGACAAGGTGGCGGCGACGGCGGCGACGACGACGACGAGGCGCCCAGCCGCGGCGGCCCGCAGGAGCTGGAGACCGCCAAGGAGGCGGGCGTGAAGCAGCAGCGGCTGGCGGAGATGGTGGCCCGGCAGGCGGAGGACGGGGGCGGGGGGCACCGGGCGGGGCCAGGACGAGGAGAGAGCCTCTCCAGAGCGTCCCAGACCCCCTCGCGTTGTGGACGTTGGGGGCGGCGAAGATCCAGCGATCGCAAACATGGATCAAGGGGGCGTGGATTCCTCCTCCTCCTCCTCCTCCTCCTCCTCTTCCTCCTCCTCGGGGGCCTCGACAAGGGGATTGACTCAGTCAGGCGATCGCAAACATGGATCAAGGGGGCGTGGATCAGCGACGGGTCCCGTTTCCATGGGGAATCGCGCATCTCCGCCGCCGAACGAGGCGGCACCGGCCGCATTTGGGGAGGGCGCCTCCCCCGATCCATGGATTTGGCGACCGCGCGCCAAGTCCATGGATCGCGAATCCATGTCTGCGCGCCCCCGAGAAGAGGGGGGTGATGTCGGCCTTCAAGGGCTCGTGCTGGGCCTCGGGACCGTCGAGAGAACGGCTCGGGATGGAAGTCTGGTCCCAGGGAAGAGGTCCAGACCTCGGGGGTCGACCCAGGACGAGCACAAATCCGTTCCGGAGCGTTCCGGGACGCTCTCGGATCGAAGAAGAAGAGACGCCACAAACAGAAACTGCTGGCCGCGCGGAGCGCCGACGGTTTGTATTTACTCGGTGTTTCCCTCCTGTATCCAGAGTGTTGCAGGACGTCGCAGGCCTAGAGGCTAGCACCAACACCAAGATCGGCGGTG